TTCCTTCTCGTTTTCGTGACTGATCTATATCCCCCATACGCTCTCTACCTTTTACCATTCCTTGACACTTATGCAACAGCCCTCGGTTTCAGCTTCTACATTCGGCTTCTACATTCAGCTTCTACATTCGGCTTCTACTTCGGCTTCTACATTCGACCTTCCACCTCAGTGCTTCTCCTCAGTACCAGAGTACCTGTCGCTGTGTTCCGGACTTCTACTCGGTTCTTGCAGTACCCCTACTTCATCCAAGCTACTTCGGTTCGACTTTAGTCTGGAGACTCATCAGTTGGAATACTTCACCCTTTTCGGCTTCCATAGTTCCCATCATTCCCACCTATCCACCACCCTCGAGCTTACCCTTCAGTCGCATGATGACCCCTATTTTCCTTGTTTATGTGGGTGTGTCCGCTTGCCGCCTTTCTGCCTTACCTTATGCTGAGAGCCCTCCTCCGGAGTGTACGTTTTCTTTGCTCGTGGCTTCTGGCCACATGTCTATGCCGGCATAGCCCTCTCTCCTTCCAGGCTCACCTTATGTGTGCTCYCTTGTGTGAGTGCCTTTCCCCCCTTTCAGCTGGCGGTACCCGTTTGATGGTTTCCATTGAGCCCGGTGTCGTGCTGTTACTCTCCCTCTGAGCCTGATGACCCTTACCTGGTTGTGTGGGTGCCCCCTTGGAGTTTACTCTGAGAGCTGTACCTGCCGCCTTCCCACCCATTCCTACCTCTGCCATGCGACTGAGTTCTCTTCTCCTTTGATCAGGTATTGAGCATTGTGTACAGGGCACGTGAGGCTGTGCCACAGTGGTTTCGACCTAGGACATTGGTTTAGTTATTATTTGTCCTTTAGGGCCCTGGGGTTGATTTATATTCAGCCTATTTGGCTCATGAGACATTTTTCCTCTTCCTTGGCCGACACAGGTCAGACATTTTTCTCTTTCTTGGCCGACACAGGTCAGACATTTTTCTCAGGTCAGACAGTTTTCTACTTTTGGGGTCGACACAGACCAGACATTGTTGTATAGATTAGGCTTGAGGCTTAGTCTGCATTGCATCCCTTTTCCTGCATGGAGCCTGCTCCGCATCTAGGATTGTTTCTTTTGCAGTTCCTTTTGGGTTCCCGCTATTTCAGCGGATAGCGTGTTTGATGTATCGCTTGATCCATTCACAGGTCCGAGGATCGTGTAGCGGTACCCCTACGGCCCGACAGTGAGGCTGGACCAGTTTCAGGCCGTCGGCCTGACCCTAGTCCGGTACCAGGTTGTTCCGCACCTGGACCTAGGCCAGTATATCACTTCGGCCTAGGCCCAAGGCGGGAGGTTCATTCATTCAGTTGTTCGTTCGTTCATCGAGCCGGACTGGACCTTCTCTCAGCTGCTGCTTCTCGTGTGTGTCCATCTAATCTCTCTCTTCCTCTCTCACACCATCTCCGCACGTGTCTTCTGCACGTGAGTCACAAGTTGGGCACAAGTAACTGTCGTTGGCCCTGGGCCTGATTCGTCTGGACTGAGGCTCAGCCTCCTGGGCCTACTGGAAGCTTCTGGGCCGGGGCCCAGTACCGCACCACAGCATGCAGCAGCAGGCCACTTCGATATAGAGAAGGGTCTGCCCACGCATTGAACATTTGGGCACTGGCTGCTGTGCGCAAGCGCTGCTGCACTATCGCTTGCCAGCGCTCACCCGCTCACGGGCGAGCGGGAAGGAGCAGGCAGCCATAGCCGAGCTGCGCTGCTGTATGCTGGATGGGGCGCATGGTGGTCCTTGGCCATTGTCCGAGATCTGCTCGTACTTCGGGGAGCTGTTGACGTCATCAGCGGCATTGTAGAGTAGGCTAGATGGGATCTGCCATCTGTAGTCTGGGCGCCGAGCGCCAGATAGGATATCAACATTGGTTCTTCGTTGATGATGATGAGACTATTCCAGCATTGTCAATTATGAGCTTTTGGTGTGCTCTTATTTGGTGAAACTCGTGATGCAATTCTGCTATTGGTTCGAGGTCACGACTATCTGATCTCATGTGTATGATGCTGTTTGATTTCTGAAGTTCGCTATTGCTCATCTTCCTTGCATTCTCAGAAAAATCTGAAAAAAAAATGTTATGTAGAATGATAATACAAACAACTTTTGCCTGGGCGGTGTGTTCAAATTCGGAACCAAACTCAAGTTAAAAATCAAAAACCTTATAAAAAAAAACATTAAAAACTAGATGACCTGTTGCGGCTTCGCTCGCAAAGGAGAAGAAGTTGCATGGCATTAAGAGGGGCGTCGTCAGGGAAGGGGGGGTTGGGGAAGAGGGGCCGTGGGCCCTGTTTTGGTGGTGGCATACCCGTTGAGTGTTCTGAGAGCTGTTCGCAGGTGCTGCTTTTGCTCAGATGTGGCATTTGCGGTTCCTTGTGTAGAACCACTCCTGTTCTGAAGTGAGTTATGTGGCAATCCGTCCTACCTGTTGCAGCTTCGCCCACAAAAAAAATGAAGGGAAAAGGATGCAAATGAGGGTGGGTGGGGGTTTGTTGGTCCGGGTGTGGGTGTGGGTTGGGCCGGGGTGTTTTTAAGGCTCACCTGTGCACTGTTGTTGACACTGTCGATGCAACGCTGCCGCTGCTTTGTATGCCTTGAATATATGTTTCTTTTTTTTTTTTTTGTCCTGTCAAAGACCTGATTACAGTTTGCATTCCTTTTAGTTGTGGTTTGCTGGGTAGGTGGTTGTTCGGATTTGAACACACCTGTTGTGTGTGTGTCACACGTTGCATACCTGTCTCCAGCTCATCACAAATGTTTTTTCTCAGATGTCGGTCGAGTGGGGGGGGAAGGGGCAGGCCTGTAGTTAGTCAGATTGGGCTCTCTCTCTCTCTCTCTCTCTCTCTCTCTCTCTCTCTCTCTCTCTCTCTCTCTCTCTCTCTCTCTCT